AAAACAACAAGGTGGAGGGAAAGCCTCCCCCTTTCTTCACTTCAAAAAAAAAAGAACTGCAGAAAAAAAAAAAAAAATCGACCTTCGACAAAATGCCTCTCAACTGGCAATCTAATTAACCTATATTGATAAATGAGATGATGATGACATAATCTATTATGATCTCATTGAACGTGATGTCACCTTATCCTTCATCTCTTTTTTAATCCTCTTCTTTCCCTCCGACCTTTAGTTACTCCTGATCTCATCCCCTTGGGGAATCTAAGGCCATACAGTTGCATTTTCCGTACAGAATCTGGACGTAATTGCGGTCAGAAACATTCCCAAAATGTCCTCCTGAGAGTATATACCCTAATTTCCTCGAGAGTCATCTGCACACCGACGACTCTTCTACACTCCTCTCTCTCTCTCTCTCTCTCTCTCTCTCTCTCTCTCTCTCTCTCTCCCCGCTTTCTCCTCTCTCCGTCTCTGTCTCTCTCTCTCTCCCCCCGATTTCTCTTCTCTCTCCCATACTCAGGCTCCCTCCTCCTACCGAATGCTTCCCCCCCTTTGCGTGAAAACCCTAAACCCTAAACCTTAAACATTTTTCGCTTTTAGGTCACACATACATTTCCCCCTACTGTGTTTTGTATTCGCTATAGACAACTCCGTAAACAGAGGGTAACCCTCTCTCTCCCAGCTGTGGCACACGCTGTTTCGTCGAACTTTCACCAAAATTTTCATGGAACTTTTCATCAGGGGAACGGCAAAAGTCACAGTATGTGATCGACGCCGTCAATGGCGGCATCACATCTACGACCGTGACTGAATCGTCACTTGAAAGTAGCGACCGCGATCTGAGAACAGCAATCTGCTTCTTGCTTCCCCTCTCCCATCAACTCCAACAACAGTGCAAGAAGACCAACCATCGTTGTTGTCCTAGTCGTCTTCAAAACGAAGAAGAAGAAGAAGAAGAAGAAGAAGAAGAAGAAGAAGAAGAAGAAGAAGAAGAAGAAGGAGGAGGAGGAGGAGGAAAAGAACACAAGAAGACGGAGAACAAGCGCTAATCCAACAAAACCAAACCTAGTGTAACTATTAAAGAAAAGAAAAGGAAAAGGAAAAAGAAAAAGAAAAAGAAAAAGAATAAGAATAAGAAAAAGAAAAAACTACTCTAATAACGGGGACTTAGTACCGAGCGTAAACGGGAGGCTCTTGTTCAGGAATTTCCCCTATAGACCATCCCCCTTTCGTCCATATATCTTCCTTGTTATTTCCCATTTGCCCCTGATAAGAATTGCCACTTCCTGAAGCAATCCCACCTTCTACCCCTCCTCCTCCTCCTCCTCCTCCTCCTCCTCCTCCTGCTGCTGCTGCTGCGTTCAGAATATTCATATTCCCCGCCGAACCTGCAACTGTGGGAGTAAATATCATCCCGTTCCCGCCAACAGACGGTTGCTGACTCATCCCATTGTTGACGCCGCTACTATTAATAGCAGCACTAGTGCTATTGCTAAATGCCGAATTTGGCGGGAAAGCATTATTACTAGTATTACTAAATGCCGAATTCGGCGGGCAAGTCAGAAATCCACTCCCGCCCTCAGCGCCGGCAAAAGCCGGGCCGCTTGCCGTGTTATTGGCAATTGGCGGGAAACCACCGGCTGCGCTTGGGGCCCCCCCGCCGCCGCCACCGCCGCCACCGATCCCGACCGCCATCGGCGGGCGGAACCCGAACGGACCCCGATTGATTCCGAATGCGCCCAGTCCCGACTCCACGGTGTTCCAAGGAGGGACACTCCCTCCGCCTCCCCCTCCCCCGGCAAAACCCTGTTGCGCAAGGTGATGATGGGTAGTCGGGATCGCGCCAAACACTCCCCCTCCCCCTCCCCCTCCGCCTCCGCCTCCACCTGATGGCGCGGCATTGGGATAAGTCCCTGCGACCACAGGCTTGCCGAACAAGAAAGGAGAGGAGGGAGAAAGAGACGGTGGTGGAGGAGTGGGGAAGGAGGTGGTTCTAGACGGAGGCTGAAGTTGTTGCTGGCGCAGCTGAGCGGGGAACGACGACGACGCAACTCCCCCGCCAATCCCAATTGGCCCTTGATATGGTGTGTGTAGCAGCTGATGGAAAACACTCTCCTTGGCAGCAATCAATCTTTTCTCTCTCTCTATTACTTGCGGAAGAGACTGGCCTTGATGCCGCCAACCACTGTATGCTTCCCACCTCAGCTCCTCGAAGCTGACGTCACCTGCCACGTCATTAGGTAGGTACTTCCAGTGGGAGTAACAGGTCAACCGCCAATATAGAGGCCTCTCATGTTGGAAATCTTCCTTGATTTGTGCCCAACATTGGCGGAGATTGTCACATCGATGATCACGATAGGTAATGGATGGCGCAGATCCGCTTGCGCCTCCGCCTGCGCCGCCGAAAGCGGGGGCGGCGGGGGAGAAAGCGCCACCGCCAAACGAAGTCGCGGAAGGGGAACCCAACGCAGAGAAGCGATTGCTGTTCCCAACAAAACCACCTCCACCTCCTCTTCCTCCTCCTCCTCCTCCTCCTCCTCCTCCTCCTCTTCCTCCATCAGGAAACACGAGACGATCATGCACTGACTGATGCCTCTCTGCGGGGACCGCATGAGAATACCTGCACTTCGCGCCAAAACGACAATTGCCGCGGAGGAAATACTGGCAAACCGGCGGCTGTTGTTGACCTCGATTCATCTCCTCTACTTCCTCCTCCTCCTCCTTCTCCTCTCCTACTCCTCCTCCTCCTCTTCCTCCTCTCTTTCTCGTTCGAGTCCACTCCTCTTCCCTACTCTCTCCTCCCGTCGTGCTCGCTGTCTTTCCTCCTCTTCCTCTCCTTCTCCTCTTCACATCGCCATCCTTCCCTCTGCCTCTATCTCCAGACCCATCAAGCTACTGTCATGGCTTCGCCGTCTTCTCTTCTCAGTCTCCTCCTCCTCTCCTCTTCCTCTCCTCTTCCTCTCCCTCCCCTCTCCCTCCCCTCTTCCTTTCCTCCTGATGCTGACTGCGATGGGTATGGCGCCGACGATTCCCGCCCTAAGACTTCTCCTTCCACGTCGTCCACTCGTCTTATATCTGTTTCATCACTCGCCGAGCATCTCCCACTTCCTCCTCCTCCTCCTCCTCCGCCGCCGCCGCCGCCTCCTCCTCCTCCGGCTCCTCCTCCCGCTCCTCCTCCCGCTCCTCCTCCCGCGCCTTTGTCAATCGTAATCCTCCTGCGCCTTTGTCAATAGTAATCCGCCCCGGCTTCCTCCTCCTCCTCCTCCTCCTCTTCTTACTCCTCCTCCCGCTCCTCCTTCCCTCCCCCGCCTACCTATCCTCAATTCACTGCACTCCGTTTTCGACTGCCCGTTCAAAACACAATGATCGCTCCCGCCTAATCACTCCTACACTCCTCTCCCCGCCTAATCACTCCTGTCCCCCGCCTTATCACTCACTCTTATCGCCCGCCTAATCAGTCTTACCTCCTATGCGCCCCCCCCCGCCCCCCCCTCCGCCACATCTCCTCGAAGATTCCTGGAATAACCCGCACATGACATTTGTCAGTCCCTTCCAGGGCTCTTCGCCTTCCACAACGACATATCCATCAGCATGTGCTCCCTCTTCACCTCCCATTTCCTCCTCCTCCTCCTCCTCCTCCTCCTCCTCCTCCTCCTCTTCCTCCTCCTCCTCCTTAAGCTGCCCCTCCATCGGCCTCACCAAGAGGCTTGGAAACAGGTTCGGATCCCCAGGCTCTTCTCTTTAGCCATTCTTGATTACCATCCCAGCGCCAGTACAGACAATACACCGACGGCTGTCCTGACCAACAAGAGGCTTGGAAACAGGTCGGGATCCCAACCCTCTTGTCTTTAGCGATTCGTGATTGCCATCCCGATACCGATGAAGACAACACATCGATGGCTGTCCATTCGCAGTGCCTCGGCTCTCTGCCGCCCAACGCAGCACGAACGAATACAGCAGCGCCCTCGGTATACTCAACGCTCTTCAACCAAGATACACGTGACACGTGGCACGTGCACGACTCAACGCGTGACACGTGACAACTGATACGTGGCATGTGGAGGGCGCGATGACGACGACGATCTTATACCACGTTCGTCAATGAAATGCACAACGATCTTCGGCAGATGAACTGGATAACGCGCCTACCAAAGATCAGTTGCCCAGGTGACACGTGACACGTGGCACGTTCAAGGTGGATAACGATCTTCAGAAGAACTTTAATAAAGTGGATAAACCAACCATGACACGTGACACGTGACACGTGGCGCCTATATCAATTGCTACACCCATGAATTTGTTGAAATGCAGACTCTCAAAAAAAAAAAAAAAAAAAGTTCGAATCGAATCCAGGTAATTATCAGATGAAGGGCGCCGCTCCGCTACTCGAGAAATGTGCAAAATGAGAATGAATCTTCCCCTAGAACAAGGACAGATAACACCACCATGTTTTTTTGTCTTTTGTGCATGTGGAGACAGTAGTGCAGCGAGGCCCGAAGTGAATCACGATGTTTGTAACGAAGTGGATAACGCAATCTTGCTTCTCTTGGGTGAGCGTGAGCGCTTGATTAATCACAACCCGCGTTCAGAGCCCCCACAGACACACAGAGAGAGAGAGAGAGAAAGAGGACCATCTACACACCTGTCTCTCTCCTCGCCGACGAGAGAGATATTGGGCCTGCAGAAGTCACTAAATGTGAAAAGGACAGAATCTATGGCGGGAACTCGGCGGGAACTTGGCGGGAAGCATTGGCGGGAACTGGTGCTTTCATAATCACCAAGGGCAGTGGCCCTCTCGTGCATTCCCCCACCGCGAGAGCTTATCTAGAATTTTTTTGTTTTTGTCCGACGTAAAATAAAAATAAAAAACAGGCAATGGTCTGAATGGGTTTTCTCTTTTTTTTTTTCCGTAAATGTGTCCTGCTTGTTACTTAACTTGGCCCCAGAAAACGACGTGCTGCATGCCACGTGGACGTACTGAATACCTCCAGTGACCTGCTGCGCGCCACGTGGGATGGCAATGTAATGCTATTTGCTTATCACCTGGTGGACCCCACGTGGCAGCACCTGGTGATTGTATTATAAACCTGCTGTGTGTCACGTGGGCAAGGAGATTTGTCGATCCGTCGGTCGCCGAACAGACATGATGGGCCTCACTCCACTACACAAAGGGGCTCGCCACACAGCCTTTCGAATCGAATGAAGCCATTTTCCGAAAAATGTCAGGCTTCATTCGAAAGGCTGAAGAGAAGAATATAGCTCGTCGAAAGAAACCCCGCTCCCAAAAAAAAAAAAAAAAAAACAAGGAAAACTTTGTCTGGCGCCCCTGTATTCTCCATTAATTTGCGTCGCGCCCCTCCGACAGCCGATTTACCCTGTCGCGCCCTTCTGACCAGAAGTGAAACTTTCCATAAGACCCTGGTGTCGTTTGGGCCTCTTATGTTTTCGTAGTGCCCCTACCGGACCCACATCAGATTTGCATCATGCCCCTACCGGATAGCCGTTGGGAAAATTTCTGATATGCCCCTACCAGTAACATCGATCTTTTCAGTGTGCCCCTGTCACCGTTGGAGGCACACAGGGGAATCTCTCTCTCTCTCTCTCTCTCTCTCTCTCTCTCTCTCTCTCTCTCTCTCTCTCTCTCTCTCTCTCTCTCTGTGTGTGTGTTGTGTGTTGTGTGTGTGTGTGTGTGTGCAGACAAACACACACACACACAAACTCGAAGGGAAGAGAATGACATGAACACAAAGCAGAGGAACAGGAAAAAAAAAGAGGGCAGCCCACACTCACCTTGCAACCGGGAGCGAAAACGAAGAGGACAGGAGGTTGGCCTTTACTGCGCGTCAAGAAAAATAGCGGCGGTGCGTCAACAACAACGGGGTTCGAAATTGAATTCGAATTTCCAACGCCTCACTGCTACAGGGGCATCACAGGAGGATGGGTGCGTCTTACGAGGGCATATGGCGCAGAGGCCGATGGAATGGGACCGCCAGTTGAGGGAGGACGTCCTGGAAAGTTGCGCCCACTACCGACAGGGGCCTGCCGAAAAGATTTTTAGGCCCAGGGGGCAACAGAGTAAACCAGTTGTCGGAGGGGCGCAGCGCAAATTAATGGAAAATACAGGGGCGCCAGACAATTTTCCCAAAAACAAAAAAAAGGAAGAAAGAAAGAAAGAACCTCCCCCCTTGGCCACACAGACTTTCGAAACACCGCCCGGCTTTCAGGGCATACTCACACTGCGACCCCAAATCCGCAAAATAGGGAAGGGCCGATTTGAGGTTTTGGGCATGGTTCACGTCACACTGTTGTACCTTTTCAGATGGGACAAGGTCGGGGCCGTCTGGAGAAATGGGGATTTGGTACTTGGCTGGTCACAGGGCGCCATCCACAAACTGTGCAAGAGCTTTTGTGAACGAATTTTTTCCAATTTTCGAAGAAAATGCGAAAAATGAAATCGGGCATTTGCGGTCACCTCCAGAGGTGACCGCAAAATCCCTGGCGGTAAGGGGCGCGACGGTCCTAGCGCCAAGGTCAGTGCTAATGCGCTCGGCCCTAGCGCCGCTTGCCAAGCCTGACCAACGGCGGGTTGGTCCATCGAGGTCCAGCTGCTGTAGGTGGCATTGCATCACCTTCGTTTTGACGTAGATCTATGGCTGGTAGCCATAGCTGACGGTGCCAGCGTTAGAATTTTCGATCGCGCCCTGCAAGTGACGTAGTATTCATTTTTGGAAGTCTGTGTGTGTAGAGGAGAAATAACGAGATGGAGACGGAGCACACCCCCTGGAGGGTCGAGCATACACTGCCAGAAGGCGGAGATGCCAAAGCAAGAGGACAAGAATCAAGTGACTACCACTTGGAAGACGAACGGGCCAAGGAGATGATTCGGGCTTGCTACGAGGATGGGATTATTCCCACCAACATCGATCTAGGAGAAATGGAGGTTAATGGGAGGGAGGTCAAATTTACCCTGAACAGTTCGGTAGACGAGATCAGAATTAAATGGCAAAAACACCGAACTGTCACGGTAATTTTTCGTGAAGGTGCCCGTTTTCTACCGAGGAAAGTCAAGGAAGATGTCATTCGGGCGTATGAAGACGGTTGGATTGGAGACGATCACTTCAGACAAGAATTCCAGAGAGGGAAAATCAAGGTGGAGAGTCCGAACATTGTCTCGTGCACCCCAAGGTCACAAGAAATTACTGACAAGATGCTCACGAAGAGGACTGACTTCATTGATCTTGTCGGTACAACATATCGGACGGACTTCAAGCCATGGATGACTCGTGCCGAAGTGAGGGATTGGAGGAAAACAGTAGCTGAGAACACCTTTTGGGTTGTGACGGTAGGTATCCCACATGATGTAAAATTCTATCTCCATGCTCGCGTGGAACGAGCAATTGGCAAGATGCTTAAAGTCCATCTCCCAAAAACGGATGAGACGGATCCGAAGTTGGTCAACGATTCGATATTGACTCGTCGACGAAGACCAACACGAAAGATCAGCGTGGCGACCCTCCAAGGGGACATGCTTGAAGTTAAGCTAGCATGTGAAAAGTCGGAATGGTGCAAACGTTGTCGGACCTTCTTTCACACGGAGGAGGCGTGCAAGTGACCAACTCGAAGAAAACAGGGCAGCACCCCCTCGAATCAGCAACAAGCGTCCAGCTCATATGGAGCTACAGGTAGAATACGCCTTACATACAATGGTCCCCTTCGGGGCCCTGACACTGGCATTGCGTCACAACAGAGTCAGCCACAGGGTTCATCAGCAACAGCAACATCGAACGATCCGGCGGGATCTTCAGTCCGCTTAAATCCAACCTTCTCCCCGACTACGGGCGGAGGGCATTTGTCCTTTAGCACCCAACCTCAAGCCGGGATGCTAAACCCTACGTTGAATCCGGCGTGGGTAGCATATCTGCAGGGGATTTCTCCACATCCCTACTTGATACAACAAGGCTTGCCGTAGGTGGGTCCCTAGCTGGGAGCTAGTCCATCATATGCTAATCTGCATGCCTTTGTCCCATGGAATCAAGGAATTATGGGTTTTCTCAATGGCAATTTCCAGGTGGCGGAGGTTTCCTTCCTATGCAGCATACGGTAAGTCATGCGGGAGCCGCGATTTCAGGTGTCGGGATCAGTTGTATCCGGGGGGAATCCCCTGCAAAACAACGACGGGTAAGTGAAGGAGGTTGAGTGGAAATCTGGGTGGATCATGGCTTACAGATGGAGGGCTCTGGCAGCTCTAACGAAGGTTCGTTCTGATATTCAGCGACAGCAGAGGCGTCAGGTAAGCGCAAAACCCCTCGAGCTCGCATGGAAACATTGTTGGATCAGTTTGTGATGGAGGTGAAGTTGTTGCCAATAATATATACAATGACTCGTGATTCTCTCTGGGTAATTTCCTCGTTGGAAGCGGATGGCAACCCACTCTTATTTAGTGTGACATGTCTTGAATCTCTCATGCCACACGCGTGTGAAACCTTAGCTCGTAACTTATACCATAACAAATTTGTTTTTCAAATTGTTGTCGAAATAGCTATGCCGCGCTTGTTAGTCGATCTCGTCGGAAGACGTACCTAGTTTTATACCCCGTTATTTGACGCTCCGTTCCTCCCGGATCAACTCGAATAGTTGAAGAGTGAAGGTCTCTGCCTGATGCCGTTGGCTTGGTTAGCGAACGGAAGAAAGTCTGACCTTCGAAGAATCAAGATTGCCTCGTCCCTGACTGCTGAATTTTTGTACGAATTGAATAGGAAACAGGGAAAAG